TATGGAAAGACTCACCCTGTATAAAATTTATAGCAACTTAAACGAAAATGCACATTCTAATTATTTCGCAATAAGGTTTAGATGGAATAAATATGTAAAATACAAAATTGTTTATCGTACTATTACGATCTCAAAATTATTATTTAAATATAAATACTTTTCTTCGGATTTTATCAGTATGTACTTCATAATTAGCCCACATCTTCCAAGAGCCCATCGTCGTAATAAACGACGATTATTAAGATTAATATCTTCATCGTCATACGAATATTCGAAAAAAAAAAATTTCCACGATAAGGAAATTGACTTGCAGGCATGTTATTATCCACTTTAATCTCCGACTTATCGATTACTCGAGTACGCATCCCCGTTCTCGCCGATGTACTTACACTGTTGAACGGGTCTCCCGTGAATCCATCTTGACACGCGCAGGTATAATTGCCGGGTGTGTTGTGGCACGCGGTATTGTCGCCGCACGCACCTGGTATCGTGCACTCGTTCACGTCCTCGCAGTGCACCTCACCGTCGCCGATATAACCGGATTTGCACTTGCACAAGAAGTTTGAGGGTAGATTGCAACATTCGGCATTCTGGACGCAACGCCCGGCGATCGCTGGGTCGTCGCATTCGTTGATATCTGCGGATACGGCACTGTTAGCAACGATGTAAGCGCTTAACACACGGCAGGATAATTACCCTCGCAATGAAAGCCATCGCCTCGGTATCCGGGAAAGCAGGAACATTGAAAGCTGCCAAGAGTATTTGTACAGTGGGCAAATATATCACAGGGCCGATATTTACACTCGTTCTCGTCTATAATTTTCAATTAAGTTTTATTGTAAGTTATTATTAATTATTACGGTATTATCATTTATTATTATGTTAATTAGATTACGGTTTATGTGTAATTACATATATAAGTTCAAGAGAATGGAAAAACATACGTGCAGTATGTACTTGCATCGAATTCATCCAAACGGTTTGCATGCAGTAGAAAATATGCGTATGTATTAAATGAATATTTCATAAGGCTATTTTATATAGTAAACTAGCTTAAACTACCGGGCGTCGCCCGAGCTTCGTATATCGCAAAGTGTCAAGAGGATAAAAACAGGGGAACGGGGTGGGATGTTCAGCTTTCACGATAGCCTATGTTTTCCGCAGAGTCCTAGGGAGTAACATTTGGTTCAGATCGGTCAAAGGGTCTAGGAAGTAATAAAAAATATGCATGTAGACAGACAATCTATTTCGTATAGATTAGCTGAAACTACTCGGCGTTATCCGAGTTTGTGTAAAGGGGAATCAAATCAGAGGGAGGGGAGAGGTGTCCAGGTTTCAACTGATATTTTCTGCAGGGTTCTAGCGAGTAGCTATGCATAATTTGGCCCTGTAAACGACGTTACCCGGAAGTATCAAGGGGATGAAATCAGAGGAGGGGAGTGGGGTATCAAGCTTTCATCATAGCTTATACTTTCCGCAGAGTCTTAGACGGTAACGTTGCAAAATTTGGTTCAGATCTGCCAAAGGGTTCAGGACGTGACAGGGGACACACATACGGACAGACAGATGTTCTATTTCATATAGACCAGCTGAAATTACTCGGCGTTACCCGAGTTTGTGTCAAAGGGATCAAATCAGAGGGAGGGGAGAGGTTTCCAGATTTTATGGTAGCCTGTGTTTTTCGCAGGGATCTGGAGAGTAACCAGGCAAAATTTCTTAAACTATCCGACATTGTCCAGGTTTCTTATATCACAAGGGAATAAGGGGGAGGGGAGTCCAGGTGGGTTATCCAGATTTCATGACTGCATTTTCTGCAAGCTCCTGGAGAGGAACTGCACAAAATTTAGTCATTTATACTACCCGGCGTTGCTTGAAAATGTCAAGGGGATAAAATAAGAGAGAGAGTGTGGTGGGGCATTCAGGTTTCGTGGTAGTTCATATTTTCCGCAGGATTTTAGAGAGTAACTAGGTAATAATTTGGTCGCTTAAACTACTCAGCATCGCCTGGGTTTCTTATATCGAAGGGATGAAATCAGGGGAGGGGGTGGGTTGTTCAGGTTCAGGTTTCCTATATTTTTCACAGTTTCCTAGAGAATAACTATGCTAAACTTGGTCCAAATCGGACAAACAGTTTAGGAACTTATAGAATAGACATTCTATTTTACACACACACACGCGCGCGCGCGGCTACGTGGATAATAAATATATAATAATGTAAATCGTTTCACAAACCTGGAACTTGACAATTACATCCTCCAAACCCATCGTTACAGTGACAGACCGAATCCAGACAGACACCGTTTTGACATTTGGTGCCGTCTTCTTTTGTACAATCGTCTGCAACATTTTAAACGACATTTATACATTGTATCTCACCGAAAAGTGATGATACATGTACGTCTCAATTTAATATTTGATATTAGAAAGTAAATATAGACCTACATATAGTTTTTTAACTTTCCCAAAATATTTATCAATATTTTAACATAATTGATATTAATATTTTTCTCAATGTATAAATAGAGATTTAATTTTATTTACGCAGGTAAATAGTTAACGATTTTATCCGGACAGCGTTAGAGGATATACTCATTTAGAAATATTTTGTATAAGAGGCACGAGCCATTTTTGTTGCCCATTAAGTAAGATTATCCGAGAAAAAGGGGCGGATAAATTGCAACTGTACTTCATAGCCATCGACTAATCGCGCAATTTTCTCCCGCCGGACCTAATCGCCGGTCGAACATCCAAGTTTTTCTCACAAGCCGCAAAGCCGCGATATGTTCGGTGGATTCGAGTAACGTGATCCATTGGCTCATCGGCGCCTCGGCAACGTCAATTACGGGCCCACCGTAGGAAATAACGTCCGTGGAAAATGAGAATAAAATTCCGCGGGCTAATTGCGACTTGTGGGCGTGACTCGGTGCAATGCGAAATAATGACGCGAGAAGAGATCCCCCCTTAATTGACCCGACGAGACGTGACGCTTAGCGCGTTCCTGCGGTTTGTGTACGACGCGTGGAAGAAAATTACTTAGCGGCCGTAATGACACCGAGAACGACGGTATGACGTGAGGAAACAACGGAAATGTTAACGACGGTGCGTCGTGAATGTCGTGCGACGTCACCCTTTCCTGTCGCCGCGAGGTGCACGATCGCCTCGCGACAGGATTGCCCTGACAATCTCCGGACGAATTACTCCGAGGGGGATATGTCTTCTTTTCCCAAGTAGCTCACCTGTGCACTTTAACCTGTTGCGCTGCTCGTCCGCGCCCTGAAAGCAGTCGACCCGATGGTCACAGAGCTTCGACAGCTCGAGCAGCTGAAGGACGTCCGTCGACTCGTTGACTTGGCAGCCAAAGTAGCCGTCCTCGAGGTTCAGGAAGAATACCTCTCGCCTCGATCCATGGCCGAGTCCTTTACGAGATTCGACCTGAAAATTTGCGGAATGGGTTTCATTAGTTGTGAATATATTTAAATCATTTCATTAACCTCATTTGTCACTCGTTTAATCATTAAATTTACGCTCTCTGTTGTTTCAACAAATTTTTAGTATTTCGATACGTCTTCAAACTAAGTTAAACTCTTTTAAGATAAGACGTTGTATTTAATTAATGATCTTCTAAGTTAAATGAAGAGAAAGAGAGAGAGAGAGAGAGAAGGAGAGAAACAAGAATTAATAAATTTGTTAGTTTGCAAAAGAATTAAAGTTATTAAAGGAACGTCTTCTTACCGGATACGAAGATAGAAGTATCCACGTCAGCAACGGCCAAAGATGTTTCATCTTTGCTGTAAAAAGATCAAATCACATCGAAATTAGTCACATTCTATAGATATCGCTCAGGTTTAAACGCGTGGTTTTTTTCATTTATTATTAACGATGCGCGATAATTTTTAGTGATGACTGGACGTAACAGCGCTTATCATCCTTCCGCGGAGAACGTGTTGCGGAAGAAATTTAAATAGATTCCTAAACACGCGCGCAACACAGCGACGACGATGACTTCACGCGGGAATCACCAGTGGTAATTGCATCATCGCGAATTCACAAGTGGTTTCGCAAAAAGCGGCACCACTTCGCGGCACCCTGAGAATGATTTTTCACGATCGCGCCGCATCCGGAAACGGGAGGGGGAGAGAGGGGGGGGCGGCAGGCAGGGAGGTACTCGCGAACGTTCCCCGCGATGTTCACGGTGTATAAATCACGTGGAAAGCACCGTGGTTGCAGGAAATCGTTGGAAAATCAAGCGTGGATACAAAACCGCAAGAAACCATCGAGCGTTTTTCAGTAGCAACGAATAAACCTACACCGGTCGAACACCTGTTCGACGAGCGAGCCTGCCGCTCCAACCCGTGGCTAATTCACGAATGTGCGACCGGTGAAGTCCTGTTGATCCATCAACCCCAACATGTAGGCCACGCGGTGCGTGGAAACGTCGAGTTTGTCCTTCAATTCGTATTTTACGTAAGGGGCGTTTTGATACGCGACAGCCTCAGGTAAAACACGCGCGAGTTATAAGATAAGCGGTAATGACGCATCAATAGAGCTGTAGATGAAAAATGGAAAATAAATCTCTTCATTAGAAGCAAGCTATTAGCGTCATTGATGGTCATTATTTATCCTCTTTTTCTTTATATTACGTATCATCAAGCCTGATATCAGTTCTATTATAGCGAGGCTTACATCGACATCGAAACTTCAAGTGCGCTTCGTCGATCCGCAAAATTCGTGGCGCGTTCGGCTCGACATGATGGGAAAATAGGTGTTTGATAGCGACCGTGTAGCTTCTGCAATGGAATTCGTTTGAGAGACGCGGAAATCTAAATCCTTGAGTACCCGCGATGAAGCCGCGGTAACCATTTCCTGTTTACCGCTCTTCTTTTTCGCAATTCCGTCGGCAGACGTCCAACTGTAAACGCAATTTTCGCGAGATAGCATCCCCGTACGCAAAAGCGTTCTTCGCTCTGGGGCCCGCAGGCCTCTTTCTCGTCAAGACGCAGCGAACGCACTACCAGTGCAACGAATAGCACAATAAGTTAGAGCCGCCGCGATCAACCTGGCGCGGTGAAATGTTAACGACTGCACACGCGGCCAAGCTCACAAGGAGGACTGGAGGGCGAGAGGGAGAAGGGAAGGAAGGACGTGCGTTCGCCAAGTCGGATGAAGAGGAGGAAGAGAAGCGGAAAGTGCGAGGGGGAACGAGAAGGCAGGATGGGAGAGGAGCGAAGAAGCGAAGGAACGCGTAATAAAGGAGGGCGTGCGAGTGCGATGCACCTGTAGCCCTCCTTGCCTCCCAACCACCTCGCAACGTCGCCGAGTCGCCCCTCCGCCCCACCCCTAACTCTTCGAGATACGTAAACCTGCAGCTGTGCGCGGGCCGGCCAACCCGAGGGAATCTAGTCCCTTCGAATTTTGTCACGGAAACCGGCCACCCCACCTCGCGTGCATATTTTTAGCCCCGGCTTTACTTCCGCAATTATGGTCAAGGTCTTTCAAATGTAGGACCTACATGGAGAGAATGTTTTCTTAAAATTTATCCTGAAAATTATGTAATCGTGGGACAACGTGGCATTTCCAAGAATTTTATGACAATTTTCAAATTTTATACCATACATTTTACTAGTAATTATACTTGCAATTAGTACCATTTTATACCATACATTTTACTGGTAGAATGTAGGATGGTAAAATCTCAAAAAATTCTTCAAAATGCCCCGCGATTACATGATTTTCAGGGAAAATTTTAAGAGAAAATTCTCTCCGTGCAGAAGTGTTTAAAGTAAAAGTTAAGTTCGTCAAAATTTAAAAGACATTACTGGTAATTGGGACGTCAGCGCATTAAATTGATATAAACATTTGTGAATGCACAAATAAATCTATGTCTATCATTTAAAAAATTCGTATTTAATAAAAAATGTATAATTGTAATGTCTGGGTGTGTTTCAGCCTTTACACACATTTTGTAGCTTCAATAGTATTACGAAGATATTATGAAAGCAAAATGATTATGTAACGGTTCACGGCTCGTGCGCGCATATAAAAAAAGTGTTCATTTTGTGATCATTCTCTAACAGGTTAATTATTCTTTACAGTTAATATTTAACTGTTTTATAAAATCGCTTGATAATTTAGCACGTCCGCGTGTAATAATCTTGACAAGCGCAATAACATCTACACAAATAAATTTTAGCGGTAATAAAAATTCTCCTGTGCATAATAAATCAATGAGTGAAGTTGCTTGTTCATTATAAGCTCATTACACTTGTGATTAATGTAATTATGGTCTCAATGAGAACGAATGTCTCGTAGAAATTTATTTAGTTTGGAAGCTGTAGAACAGATAGACCGATAGAAATGCGAAGTCGCAAGTCGCATCTCGATCGTTCTTGGGCTCTGACATCGATGTTTCAGCCGCGAGCGATTGACACAGTTACATCGGTTTTTGTCGGTGCCTCTTTAGCATATCTGTCTGTCGCAATCTTACAATAGTCAGTAGCTCTCGGCCATAATCCAGCCATGCGACTGTACATTTCAATTTTGCATTATCGTATATCTACATGCAACACACGAGCTGTATGAATTACAATGTTTATATGAGGCACGCGAAACACCTACGCGCGATATTATGATACGAATGCTGGCGATCACTTTGTCATCGGCTAAACCGGGAACAAATTATCACGCGCAACTTCTTGGTTGAGAAACTGTTCTGACGTTAAAATACGTTCATTTCTCAGGTTTAAACAGTTATTCTCGTTTTAGCTCATTCCATAATTTTCGCCCAATTTTAATTTTCATAGCAAATATTTCAGCGAGTTCTATTTAATTAATAGTATAATATAACATCCTTGTTAATCAAACACAAATTTCAGTGCCAACCAGTAACCCAGTGAAAACACTGACGTCGAATCGACATCAACGGGGTCGAAATCGCGTCCCAACTGTCAGTTTTCGAAAATAATTAAAAGTTTTGGAACTGTGTCTTTTTTTATTAAAAATTTTGTATTGAAATTAATTTGTATTAAATAAGTTAACTTGACAGTTCTCTCCAATAAGATGTTAAATGTATCCAAAACGTTGAACGTAGTAATTTAATACAAAAAATTAACTTCCAAAACTTCTAATTAGTCTCGAAAACTGACGGTCGGGGCGTGGTTTCGACCCCCTTGATTCGACGTTGATTCGACCTTAGTGTTCTCACTGGGAATGGGCTTCTAAGCGCCGTCAAACAAATTGCAGTTATATCCTGCAGCATTAGAGTTTCAATGGCGTCACTGCATTAAATAATCGCGAAACGGCGTAATTACCAGCTCCGCCCGAAATAGATATTTCAGGTCAATAACGACTCCGGTTCACGAGTCATCGGCTTCACGGATTTCTTCTTTATTATACTGCCTCGCCCACGAGACTCTCAGTTTATGGAAGCTTGCGGGTCAGGAACAACGTGTTTGCGCGACGTCGTGAAAGTGTCTATATGTGACTGGAGAACATCCTGGGTAGAGATTATTCTTTTGTGTGTGCTCGGGGCCAGGGATACGTCCCACGCAAGCGAGAAACAGGGGAAGACTTCAAAATTACAGCTGACACGTCTACAACAGAGCCCGGCGAGATGGATCACTTCGCGACCGATTTTCAATAGCTTTCCCCAAGGATGACGAGGAAAGCTCGTGGGCTTCGCGCGGGACGGCGAGCTAAAGGGAATAACGGAGCTAGTTGGACCTATCTCGCCCAGCTCTGGTCTAAAGTATCCTGATACACCGAACGCACAGAAGTAATAAGATCATTCGCTATGACTAACAGCTGGTTTGCAATTGCGCAACTTTGCTTGAATAACTCGGTGTTATTCGCTGCTCACAAAAATCATTAACCCAATATACAGACAGCATCAAAATTCATATACTTTCTCTTAACTGTGGTCCCCAAACCATATTAATGACGAGTGTGTCAAGAAGAGTGTCGCTTGTTTTTATTACATGTTAAAGAAATTACAATTCTTATAGCATAAGAATTGCGAATTCTTCTTCTTCTATTATAATGGCGGACATAATAAATAACTGACTATCTAGAGATTGACAGATATTGTTCGATAGAACACAATTAATCTTATTACATTGGCTATATTTTAAACATAAAATCGCAATAAAATTATATTTTATAGAGACTGGACTTTCTACATAGCAAGATACAAAGATAGCGTTTCATTCTTGTTTCATAGATTGGTCTTATTGTTAGTTTGGATGACATCTCCAACTGATCACTACGGCGATCCTTTAGCGACAGACATTTATGGCTTCGTAATGTCGCCTGCGAACGAATTTGCATGTTTAGCACCCACCGTCAACAATTTAATTGCATAACCGTCATGCTAAGTCTTCCTACGTGCGGCGCTGATTTCACGCACGAGCCTCTTTACGCGCTTGCGTAATTCCTCAGTAAAATAATGCAAACGAAACAGTTGCTTTTGTTCGAGCGCGTTCTCTTTGTTATGCCGGGGCGTAGGGTTAATTCTCATTTTCCGAAAGTATTAAAGCCGAATCTATATCATTTAAAACTTACTTGCGAAACATAAAAATAACGGAAACGTACTATTAAATTCCGATACTTATCTCAACGAAGTAATTGATTTAATGAATATAAATGACTTAATTACAAGACGACTGACAATGGAAGGTGATGGAAGAAAAGTACGGTACAGCAGCCCCGCAGCGTTCTAATTACCTGGCGTCTTCCTTTCGTTTCGCAAATCCGCATGTGTGTCAAGATGCATCGCGCGTAAGCATGTATGAAT